TATGTCTTCCTGACGGTTCCTTACAGGCTAACGCTGCTGCTTGGTCTGGGAGTTTTCTTCTCATGTCGCCAAATTAACATATTTTGCATATTACAGTTGAGTGCCTTGCCTTAGATTGCAGTCTAAACTGCAAGTAAGTAAGTCCCTTAAGAGTTGCCATGAGTTTTGGCGTTTGTTATTTTGTTAAAAATGGGCTATGGTGTTCTTTCCTCGTGTTACCAAAGCCAATCTGAAATGAAACTAGTCTAGAAAAATTCATTGTTCTCTGTAGTTGCAGCTGTACCTGAAATAAAAATGTTATTGATGACTGAATTTTCTTGTGTGTATATTTGGTGAGCTGTATTAAAACAGAAAAAAAAAAGAAATTACTTGTATTTTCTTCGCTCTCTGCTTTGAAAACATCTATTTGATTTCACCCCCATCTGTTGTAATCAATAACCTGACCATCTTGTTTTTTATTAAATGCACTTACTCTTAATTTCATCCACCAGTGGTTTTAGAGAGAATAATGTGGAGTTACCTATATAGGTTTGACATTATAAATCACTTCTTGAGGCTGAATCGTATAGCGGTATCGATTGATCCTGATATATCACAGAAATTTACTGTCACTTCTGTTTTCAATTAAAGATACAATCAGTCAGATAATGACTTAATTGGATTTTACAGAAGATTGAGTTTTATTGCCCAGTGCTTTACGAGTTTAGTTAAGGAAGATCATTTTATCACACTTGTCAGCCTGCTCCCGCGGCTCCGTGCCCTTCTGCCGCTGCCACCACCGTGTCGGCGGCGCGGCTCCCCGGAGGGCACGGCAGGCGGCACCCGGACGGATGCGGGTGCTCGCTTCCTCCCCTGCTCTGTCAGTCCCCAGGCCTTGCTGAAATACAGCTTCTTAATTCCTGGAGAACGTTTCACGGCTCCCTTCCTCGGGCGCACTGCATGCCAGGGTGCAGCGCCGCGGCGGGGACCCGCCAGCCCCGGGCGGTGCCTCCGTCCCGTTCTCGGCGGGGACCGCGGCTGTCCCGTGCCCGGCCCCCTCCGGGAGCGAGGGCACCCGCGGGAGCCGGCAGCGGCAGGCAGGATGGCCCGGCCCGGGCGGCGCTGGGGCTGCATGCCCCTCTTGGCAGACCCGCTGGTGGCCTGGGCCTGTTTCTGGTTGCCCGCCTGAGCGGGGAGCAGCTCTGGGGACAAACGAAGCGGGATGTGCCCCATTGTGGCACACGGGGGGGAAATCTCCAGTGGGAAAAAAAAACACTGTGTTCTTTATATAGACCAGTATGGGACCTGGTTGGTGACAAGGGTGTTGAGAGTAAGTTACGGGGGGAACAAGCAGCATCTTTCACAAGACGGGCAATCCTGCCTGGAGCTCCAAGTTTTGGAGAGTAATTCACATTCAGCACAGAGGGAACTTCGGTGGAAAAGATCGCCGATGAAGGACGGCTGAGGAGCTCAGCCCCGCCGCACCAAGAGTGGGAAGATGCGGGGTGATCTCCCGGGAAAGCTTGGGCCCCCTCCTGTGGGAATGCAGTGGCTCTAGCTGGGAGCGCCGGCCCGACGTGGATGCTGGGCCGGGTCGGTGCCCTGGGGCAGGACGTGGCCGTGCCGGAGCGGCTGCTCGCCGCTGGCACTTCTCCCTGGCCTGTCCGTGGATGCTCTCTGCACGGCCCGCGACGTTCTGCCTTTAGATCTCTGGGACTCCCCCGAGCAGAGCTGACGGGGCTGTTGCATGGAGCACGGAGACTTTTCACGGGCTTTTAGGAGTTTGGGGCTGTTTGGGGTTTGGTTGGATTTTGTTTGATTTGTCTGTTTCTGTGGTTGGTTTCTTTGTGGCTACTGTTTTGTTTATGTTCTCTTTTTTTGTTTAGGGGTTTTGTGGTTGGGGGTGTTGTTTTGTTTGTTCTTTTGTTGTTTTTATTTTGCTTTTCCACTGCACCGCAAGTTGCCGTCTTCCCACGTATCTCTAGCTGGTTGGTAAGCAGTGACCTTTATTAATGCTACTCCTCTCAAAAAGCGCGTTCCTCGCCCCTCGCCAGGCAGCTTTGACTGCAAGTTCGCTTGACCCTATGCGGAATTCACATTTCCCTCGAAGTCTTCCGTTAAAGTTTCGCCCCGCTCTAGCGTGACGTCCCATCACGCAGCCCAGCAGAGCTGGCATTTTGCTCCTCTGCCTCCTTACCGTGTGCCCTCACAGACGGTCAGAGACACCCAGAGTCGCTCTCCGATCGGGAAATCATGCCTAATTTATTCCCGTCTTCTCCCTTTAAGTAATGCCTTAAAGCAGTTCGGGCGAGGCGAACTAATCCTGCCGTTCGCACTCGCTCAAGTGGCCACCAGCATCCCGCGAACGCCCCCTCCCAAAAGCTTATTTTCCAGCAGTGCCAGCACTGCCGAGCACTCCCTCGGGCCCGACCCCCTCTCCGCCCGTGGGGAACGGCGGGGCTCCCGGGGCAGCAGACCCCGCGGCAGGGATGCAGCTCACGGCGGGTTCCAGCGGCTGGGCAGCAGCGCCGAGTCTTCGGGATGGCCCTACATCGAAAAGTCGCGAAATGCCAGCGGATTCGGGCCGGTTTCCAGCCCGTCTCCCGTCCTGCCCGGTCGGCAGGGGTTCTTTGGCCCTTTGGCTGAGCCGGTCTTTTCCGCTAAATGTTATTTGCAGCATATGTTTCGCACATTCATTCTCTTTCGGTCTATTATTCTGGGCGCTAAATGCTAACACCTCATTGTCACCTTGAAATTTCCTCTGCTATTTTGCAATTAAAAGCTTAATAGCCCTGGAAACGGAGTTCATGTGGCGCAGTTTACCATCGCCACTTCGTCTGAAAAGCTTTCTGCTGGGATCCCATTATGTGCTTGAATAAACCTTTTCGGCCAGCAGAAATGGGAACCGGGGTTGTCAGGTGTTGGGTTACAATGGACTTTCAGGCAGGGGACGTTTTGCTAACACAAATACGAATCTGGCCCTATGGGTAGATGTTGTCAAATACTAGGACATGGAAACCATTCCCATCAAATATGAGAAAAGGATTACAGTATTATATCAAACGGGTATTTCAGCCTAAACGCCCGATGTGCAGCCAAGCGAGAGAGGGGCCCCCGGTCCTCCGCCAACCTACCGCCGCGCTGGGCACCTCGGCTCGGCATCTGGCAGCGCCCGGCCGGCTGCGGTGGCGGAGGCGCCCCGCAGGACCCTCTCCAGCTAGAGGGGAAGTAGAGTTTTCCACCATGATCCCCACCGCCGCAGACAGCTGCACTCCGTTTCTTCGTTTAGAGGAAACGGATTTCCAAGGGTGGGTGCTCATCATCTTACGTAATTTTGTGATAGTTGAATGGGTGGTCCGCTTCTTTCTTTTTCTCCCCTCGATGGGGACTCCCGAGTGTGCGAGAGGCCCCGCGGGGGAGGCCAGTTGCGAGCTGCAGGGTTCAGTGCATGCACTCCGGCAGCAAAAAAATTATGTTCTACTAGCACTGACAGAAAATGCGCTGTTCCCCTTATCTGATCCGATTCACTTCCCTGGCTCGGTGCGATTTACAGGTGGAGTGCTCATCCTTCTCACATCCCGCGCACAGCCCGGGGGAGAAAGATCAGGCGGAATCACTCTTCCTCTAGAACTAAAAAAGTAACGAGGAAAGAGCCTAGTAATTAAATACCACGCAAATACTTTCGTAGCATACACTGTGCCTTTTATTCTCTCCAGCGAAATACTTCCCGAGTTTTAAATCTGATTTCGTTATTACGTAGCCTCGCTAAAACCTTTATTTCGTGTAGCGGTTATGGTGGAAAGATGCCTGGGAAGGGCAGGGGAGGTCTTGAGGCAACGAAATGGGTCCAGGTCCAAGCAGCAGCCCCTGCCCGCCCGCGGACGCTACGCCGCGGGCAGATGAACGCTTGTAATTTGTTTCTCCCCAGCCAAAATGCATATAACTTTTTTGTTTTTTTCCCCCAATATATTAAATTTTGATTCAAGGTCCTCGCTTGAGGGAAATACCCGTGTTTCAGCGAGAAACCCCTCCGCGTACGGAAATGCAGAACACTACAAGTCTGCCGTATCAGACATCATCGTTTAGGTTTCAAGCAACCTGACTTGCCGTGAATTTATCATTCCTTTCTATAGTCACCGCTTGGTTCGGGTAGCTGTCTTGCCGCGGGATGCAGGCGAGGCAGCGGAGCCCACGGGGGCAGGTGCCTACGGCGGCTCTCCAGCTCTGCGGCGCGATCCCGCGGGGACGCGGCCGCACCCCGATTCCGCCCAGCTGTTGTGGGCAGCTCCTGGTCCCGGACAGCTCCTGCTCCGAGCACCTCTTTGCGGCTGCAAAACTTTGGCAAAACTTTGGCAGAACTTTGATCTCGACCCCCCACCACTCCCTCTCGCCGCCGGGCCACAGGCGGCAGCAGCCATACACCGTGCCGCCGAACCCAGCGGGCTTTCGAGGCGGGGCCGACACAGAGCCCGGAGAAACCTCCTAGAGCCCGCTCATCTCTCAGCCCCGGGTGCCTTCGGGGCGTGGGGCGTGAGCCGTGAGGGGGCAGGGCGTGGGTGGCAGCAGCCGGGGATCCAGTCCGCTCAGGGACGAACCCCTTCTGCACGGCACGGGCATCGCCGCCGCCCCGACGGCGGGGCAGAGATCCCCCCCGCCGCCGCTTCCCTCCCTTCCTCCCTCCCTCCCTCTCTCCCTCTCTTCCTCTATCTTTCTCTCCCTCCATTCCCCAGTCGGCGCCGGGGAAGGAGGCTGGCGGGGGGGCGGGCGGGGGGCGGGGGCGGTCTGAGGGGCTCTGGGCTCAGCGGGGCGGCGCGGGCAGCGGCAGTGTCGCTCCGGCCGGCGGCCGCGCTCTGCCCGCCGGTGCCACCGCGGCGGGCGGTGCCTCTCCCCGCCGGCCTGGGGTTGAGCCGCGCCCCCCGCAGAGCCCGCGGGCAGAGCCGCCCGCCTCCATCGCCCCGGCCTCCGCCCGCCCTCGCTGAGGCCTTCTCCACCCGGGAGCCGGCCGGGCTCCTCCCGCGGGCATGAACGGCTATGGCTCCCCGTACCTCTACATGGGCGGCCCGGTGTCGCAGCCACCGCGGGCTCCGCTGCAGCGGACGCCGAAGTGCGCCCGGTGCCGCAACCACGGCGTGCTGTCCTGGCTGAAGGGCCACAAGCGCTATTGCCGCTTCAAGGACTGCACCTGCGAGAAGTGCATCCTCATCATCGAGAGGCAGCGGGTGATGGCCGCGCAGGTGGCGCTCCGCCGGCAGCAGGCCAACGAAAGCCTGGAGAGCCTCCTCCCGGACTCCCTGCGCTCCCTCCCCGGGCCGCCGGGCAGCACCGAGCCCCCCACGCCGCCGCCGGGGCCGTCGCCCTGCGCCGCGCCGCCGCGGACCCCCGCCGAGCTGGCCGCCGCCGCCGCCCTTCGCTGGGCCGCCGAGCCGCCCCCCGCGCTCCCGGGGCCGCTCCCCAAGGCAGGTGAGGCCGGGCCGGGCACGGCGGTACCGGGGCAGGAGGGAAAGGGAGGGCTGGGGGACGGGGCCGGAACGAGTAAAAAGCTTTCCCTTTCACCCAACGGGCTCCGTGGGAAGGGAACGGAGAGGAATTCCGTCGGGTACACTTTATCGCTCTTAAAAAGCATGGAGCCGCAAAGTGACCGGCCCACTCCTCAGCCAGAATCGCGTCCACCGAGACAAGTAGAGGGAACCCGCAAAGGTCGCGGCTGCCGACCGGCTCCCCGACGTGCTGCTTCTGGGCCCGTTCCTCGGGTCCGCCGGGAAGGGGCCGCATCCCGCGTGGATCACAGCAGCATGTCTTTCTGCTTCTCCCGGTCTCTCTCCCGGAGTCGCTGTCCGGCTCCCCGCACCCCGGGCATGGGGCTGCGGGACCTCGTCCGGGACAAGACCTGCACGGAGAGCCTCGGACCAAAAGCGGCGCCAGGAGCAGGGAGGCTTCTGCGAAGCTATGACGACCGGGGAAAGGGGAGTGTTGGCAGGGGATGAGCGGGGCAACCCCGCCCTCCTGCGCAGGCCTGTCCCTGCGGGTCGCGTCCGGGGCGTCTTGTGAGAGAGAGGTCGGGGGTGCCGAATGTGCCGCCTGCAATGGGCACCTTGTGAGCGCGACCTGTCGGTAAAACACCTTGCCGGAGGCAAAACTAACACTCCGGAGCCGCAGTCGCGTTCCGTCCGTTGTCTGAGCGGGAGCTGACAGTCTTTCACGATAGGGATGTTCGGCAGGCAGGCCGCTGCCAGCCCAGGCCGCTCCGCTGACAAGTTGTGACAAAATTTTACGCGGTGCTCCGGGACGAGAGTGGCGAGCCCGGTGCTGCCGCCGCGCGGGCCCGTGTGCGCTGTGGGACCAGTCCGGACACGGAGGCGTCCACCAGGGCCCCAGCATGGGGCTCTGCTTCTCCAGCACCGCAGCGCACGCACCCCGGGCCCGGGGCGGCGGTACGGCTGAGTCCGACGCTCTGGCGAGGATGCCGGTGGTTTGGGACCCGCTTCCCATTTTCCGGCCCTTGGTACCACGTGCCTGCCCTCCGGCAGCCCTCTCCCCCACATATCGGCCCAGGGCCGGGCATGGGGGTCTCTCCCCAAATTTCCCACTGGTCCTAGCCTCCCGCAGGCGCGGACGCTCTCCGCACAGGCGGCGGCGCCTGGCCGGGGCCCCCTCCCTGCGCGGAGGTAGCGGGGCACAAGGCCGAGGTGTGGGGAGAGGAGGGGGAAAACCCGCCTTGCTTCTTCGAGAAAATGAAAGTTCCCATCCGCCAGCACGATATAAATCTGCCGGATAGGAGCGATATTAACTTGCACGCTCAACTTTCCTTCACCCTGATGTATGAACTTCCCGGTTTAAAAGATTACAGTAATCACGGGAGGAGAGTGTAAATCGAATCTGATAGCAATAACTTTTGGGGAAGGTCAGGCTCAAGTGAAATGTTACCAAGCAACAGGCATTTTGTTTGCAAAATACAATCAAAGTGTATTGATGAGAAATCCTTCCTTGCCAGCCAGTCAGCACTTTTTGATAATAGCTTTACGGAACGAAAAAACAAACAAACAAACTACAGGACATAACGGAGATCTCCATAAATCGAGGCCATCGGCGCTGCGCCTGCCCCCGTCCCCACCCGCAGTGAGGCCGGGCTGAGGGGACCAGGGCACCCCGGGGACCACCGGGGAGCCTTTCTGGTCACTCAGACCTCACCTGCATGTCCCCGGTCCCTGATTGTCACAGACGGTTTTTTCCCCCCACTTTTTATGAACATGAGAATGCATGAGAGCAAAGTGGAAGACGGTCTCCTTAGAGGTTCCTGCTGCCACCTTCCACCAGACACTGTTTAACCACATGACTTGCTTATTCCCAATTATCCTGTGTTCTCTGAGAGGCAGGCTTTTCTCTTTCCTCTCTTTCCATTAACTGTATTAAAATCGCCGTAAAAACAGAGGAAAAACCTCCTGTCCACCCGGTTTCTAAAACACACACACAACCCCTTCCTCCCCGAGGACGTTATTCTCGTGAAAAGTTTTTTCACTGCCGAAGGGATATTTCCTGATATATGGTAAAATCAGATCCGTCAGCTTCTGTTCCTGCTACAATCGGCCATTTCAGTGGGACAGTTGCGAAGTTCTGAAATTACCCTTGTTACATCTGCCTCTGCTAACCTGGAATGATTCCTCCTTCTGATACCGTGCACATGAACTTTCCTTGCCCACAGGAGTGCATGTTATATTTGTCTTAGTAGTAGTTACCAAGACTTGTAAAAATAATGCCATATTCATTGCCTGATACTTTCCGAGCCAGCTTCTAAATGCAGTGCATCTGTCTCTGTGTTAATTTGAGAACAGCGATTAGTCTCCTACATAGTATTTAGATCTTCGAATATAGGGAAGAAAGTCTGAAGTGAAAGTAATTAAAACCAAAACCTAAACAAAGCCCCAACAACAAAATCAAGCTAACAAACACCCCACTTTCCAAACAGACAGCAAGAGTAAAAAAAACAAACCCAAAGAAAACAAAAAAACCCCCACCAAAAACATAGCCTTAGCTTTATGTGCAGTTACGCTAGTTCTGTATCAGCCTGTCCTAATAATATGACTAAGGAAAAGAACAGGTACTTTCAAGATACAAGAAAATCTGTTGAGAAAAGAACTGCCCTAAAAATCGAAGAACAAACTGTTTTAACAGGGACTCAGCAGTGGGATATCGAAGAAGCAAATTTGGTTCCAAAATATTAGAACAAGTTTTCCAGACAAGTAATTAACTTAAACAGCTTTTCCCTCTCATCTATTTTACTTGTATTTGGCCCCTTTACATTTGACCCGTGATTATTAATGTATAGATAGTCAAGAAGAATTGAGGTAAATATTGTGCTGAATTTGTATTGTATTTTACTGTAAATGCATGTATGGTTCTGCCAGTTCTGTTTCATGCGTATCTGTATTTGCCCTGCATCTCTGATCCGGGCTGGTATCTCTCCCTGGATGTGTATTATTTGATGAATACTCCCCATCTTTTATATCAGTAGGAAAATAGTTTCCTTAGTTTTCCCAGGAATCACAAACTGGATACTTAAATGCAGGAAATTTGAAATAGAAGGTGTTGGGGGGAAAAAAGCCTCAAAACACACACACACACACACACACACACACACACACACGCACAACAAAATAACCTCCCCCTAAAAAACAAAACATAAAAATCCAACCCCAGAGCCACACAAAGAAACAACCCTCCCAAAACCAAAAACCAACAGAAAGACAAAACAAACACTGCTGCCCCTCCCCCCTGCCCCCCCCCCCAAAAAAAAAAGCAAACCAAACAAACACCGCCACCAGAAATACAGCAAAAATCCTCAGAGCTCACACAGGACAAAATATAACAACCAAACCCCCAAAACGTAAAAAATATCTGAGGACGAGATTTCTTTCTTGAAACCGAGGATATTCTCATGTAAAAGTTATGAATTATGAAAAGGAAAAAAGCTTTGGTAGAGAATCAGTAGGTTGTATGTTCTAAATACAAAATTATTTTTATACCTGAAAATACAAGCATTTGTAATTAACACATGCATATAATATTCCTAAAATTCAGTGTTCACATAGGGATATTTACAATGTATCTTCACAATTTTTTGTTTATTTGACGCTGACTATTTTGCATCTTCACAATTTTTTGTTTATTTGACGATGACTATTTTTGTGCCAGTTTTAAACAAACGAAAATCCCGGTGGTGGTGGTTCCCATGAAGGGTTGGGGACAGTCCCCGGAGTACGCCTGATCCTCCCCGAGCCTTCAGCGTAGCGGGAAGGGGGTGTTTAAAGCAGTTAATGCACAGCCTACAGCGAGGGAAGCCCCAGGGCCGGCCAGGTGAGCGGCCGTGCGACAGCCTCGGGCCCCGGGTGACACCCGCGCACTGCCCAGCCCGGGCATGGAGCTGCCTGACTGACACCGGCAGCCAGAAATGCTCTCGAAAAGACAGACGGGGAAACACAGCAGCCTCCACGCTCAGTGGTACCCAGCACAGGGTAATCCCCTGTGTGTTAATAGCACCACTTTGATTTAAAATCAACGAAATCTCGTTTTCTGGGTCTGTCCCCGGGAGTAAAACAGCCCAGTGAGATGCGCCGCTGTGACCTGAGCTGTATGAGGAGACTGCCCCTGTGCTAAAGCTCAGAGCCAGCATCTGCGTGGTCTACTGATGGTAAAGAGGCAAAATTCAGTGGGATGAGTTTTCAGAATTTGATGAAAATTTTTTAGGCAAGCTTCACAAGGATATGTTTAAGGGTACAGAAAATTAATCTGAAATATCCTGAAAATAACATTTTGTAAGGATCGGGGAATATATTTGAGATATCTCACCTGATCTGAGGGTGTTTGTTTTTTTGTTGGTTGTTTTTTTTAAATAAACATATATTTTCTCCACAGCGGTACTTGCTCTCATGCCGGAAAGATACACTGTAAACATGAGCATGAGGTAATTCTGAAATATGTTCTCCTTGCTTTCAGTCCATTTGGTAATATTAGTCACCACAATGCAATTTATTTACGTGAAAATTAGGGCTATCATCTTCCTTAAACAGCCTCTCTAACTCTGTCAAGATAGGGACAAGGTGTTTTAATGTCCTCAGACTGTCCACTAAGCCTTGAACATATAAATATTCACCAAGACTTGTAAATAAATGCATAGTGAAGGGATTAGAAGGGAAAGGTAGTGTGAGTCTCACACTATTTTCTCAATAAAGGATGAGCTATGCCAGTATCTTAGCACCTCCTCAGAAGGATGCACGTGCCAGTTTGCTATCGGCAAGCAATTCCTGCATTCTGCTTTGGCTGCTAATGCTGATTGATGCGCTGAACATATGAGAAAGAGGAAATGTACATGGCCTCCTCACTAATATAGAACATGCAGAGTTACTGCTTCCCTGTTTGCACTCAACAGGCAGCATAACCAGTGTAAAAAACAGTTCCCAAAATGGGTTATCCTGCTGAAAGGAGTGAGGTTTTTGTAAGAGCATCTGTACTCCTCGGCTACACACTTATCTTCCACAGCCCAAATTAGCAGCATCCCAAATCTCTTAGGATGGCCCATTGTTTCTGCCAGGTACAACCATCCTCATGAAGAGAATCTTCCTTTGCCATGCTCACACACTGTCAGGCTGTGCTCTGCCAGGATCTCTTCTTTATTTATAACTCCCACTGTGGTGAGCATAGTGGCTTCTTGCTCAGCTTAGGCTGCTTCAGACCCTGACTTCTTTCTCTCTATTGGATAAATTCCATTAATAGTCTTTTTTTCATGCTGATCTGTTAAATGTTAAACTTAGCCCACTACTGATGAGAAGATGCCCTGCCTGCTCCTGCAGTGAGAGGAATGTCAGAGATGGTGAGCAGTGAGGCTCAGGTGCTTGCACACCTCTAACTGGTTCCATCTCAGTTGGGCAGGTGGGATCATCAGAACATTTTAGGAACCTTTGCTTACTTCTTACAGTAACTTTATCTAGTTGGGGTATTTGTCAGGGGCTTGGAAAAATAGCTGTATTGTTTTTTGTGGATAGTCCTCATTTGTGCATTCAAAAGCACTTCCCTGTGTGGTTAAAGTAGACTGTCAGCCACAGCTTAGACAACAATCCTCTCCCCATGTATTGATGCTTCCCAAGAATGTAAACATTGTGCTCAATGAGGAAAGCCAGCAGAACTATGTTCTTGGGAAATGACAATGTAAAATCTCAAGCAAATACCTTGATCCTCTTTTGCATAAGCAAGCATCCTTCCCTTCTGCTTGCTGACAAGCAGTCTTATTTCAAAGGGTTCCATACTCTGGTGAGGCATTACCAAAGAGTTTTGAGTGTCCATCTGGAGACAGCATGGTCAATGGGCTTGTTTTTAGCTCCATACTCAGCTCTCATCCTTCTTAGTTTAGTACACAGAAAGCAAGATACCTGGAACAATTGTTAAGAGAGGTTGTGAGGAATAATTCCTCCTCCTTGGAATTATTTAAAACTCAGCTAAGCAGCCACATGAGCAACCTGCTCTTTGTCTAAGGCTGCTCCCAGTTTGAAGAGGATGTTGAATCAAATGCCTTCCAGATGTCTTCTCCAAGCCAGAATTTTCTAGAATATCTGCTTGGATGGGACAAGGCATCAGACATACTTAACGGTTTAGAAATTGCAATTCTTGCTGTGGGAGGAACTGATTTCTGTGGGAGAGACCAGTTTCTTCAGAACTGGAATACATTTATTTATTTATTTGAAGACTTTTTAAACCTTTAGACTGTAGTCATAATGGAGTGGTTCTGTCAATGCTGTTGGAGCTGCAGGGGAATTTTCATTTCCTAAGTGCCCTCTTCAGCTCACAGACAATGAGATGGTACTAGTGAGGAATTATGATGTGAAAGTGCTGAAGTTCCTCTGAGAAATCTTGCAGTTGGGTGGTGTGTTACTGCCTTAGAACCAGTGAGAAAGGATAGATTTAGCACTTTTGATGCAGCAGAAAAATTATCACATTCTTTGCTTGCACATGGGAGAATGAGACAGAGTATGTCTAGATCAGATCACATTATAATTTTCCAGATTTATTCTCATGACATGTTGCAAAGATACCTTAATTTTTGCAGGATCTCTGAGAAAAAAAGCACTTTTTCCCCCTTAGAGTCCTGGTCTGTTCAGTTTAAGAAGACAGCATCCTCAAATCTCTGTAAAAGCTTTTGGCCTCAGTTTTCTGTTAACTTCTCTGACTTCTCTTTGCAGACGTGAATGAGGAGCGGCTGGGTGATGCAAGTGGAGCAGACAATGCCGAGACCTACAGTGACAAAGACACAGACCAAAGGAGTTCCCCAGACATGACTAAAGCCAAAAGTTGTTTCAACCCTGAAAGCCCTGAAATTGTTTCAGTGGATGAGGTTGGTTTTGCAGTTCAGAAAAATGGTGGGAGCACAGAGAACCGTCCAGACAGCCCCAAGTACCACCCAGAGCAGAACCACCTCCTGATAGAAGGTCCTTCTGGGACAGTTTCTTTACCATTCAGTTTGAAAGCAAACAGACCCCCACTTGAAGTCTTGAAAAAGATTTTCCCTAACCAAAAGCCAGCTGTGCTAGAGTTGATCCTGAAGGGGTGTGGTGGTGACCTGGTGAGTGCTGTAGAGGTTCTCCTGTCCAGCCGGTCTTCAGTGGCCAGTGGAGAGAGAACTTCTGCAGAATCGGATGGTCTTGTTTTGCCTTCCAATGGCCATATTTTTGAACACACACTGAGTTCTTATCCTATTTCATCTTCCAAGTGGTCTGTGGGCTCAGCATTTAGGGTTCCTGACACTCTGAGGTTCTCTGCTGATTCCAGTAATGTTGTGCCAAATCCTCTAGCCGTACCTTTGCAGCACCCTTTCCCTCAGCCACCACGCTACCCGCTGATGCTGAGGAACACTTTGGCAAGAAACCAGTCCAGCCCATTCCTGCCCAACGATGTCACCCTGTGGAACACCATGACATTGCAGCAGCAGTACCAGCTGCGATCCCAGTATGTCAGTCCTTTCTCTGGCAACTCAGCCACTGTTTTCCGAAGCTCGCCTGTCCTTCCTTCCCGCTCGTCAGAAGATCCTAGGATTTCAATTCCTGATGATGGATGCCCAATTGTGTCTAAGCAACCAATTTACACAGAAGATGAATATGAGGACAGGTCTGATTCTTCAGACTCAAGAATACTCAACACATCTTCTTAGACTGACGTTTGACATGTGACAGCTAAGCGATACTCACAGTGCAGCTGAACTACTGGCCCCTAAGAGGAGGGACATGTGCTCTACAAAACTCTTGCAATTGTATTAAAAAGTTGCTTGGTATTGTACTATAGCAATAAAGACATAACTTATTTAATTTCTTGCACTTCACTGGATAATGCCAAATAGCAATACTCTGGCTTTAGTGCTGAGTGTGTGTTGCAAAGGAAGACTTTATGGCTACCAGTTATGGGACTCTAGAAGACTCATAATGGAAACAGAAGCCCAAGGTCTACTTTGTTTCTTAACTCAGAAAAATGGGGATGTTAAACTAGAATACTTGAATGCTGTTTTATAATTGAGAACTCCTCAGGACATAAGAAATCAAGCAAGCATATTTCAATTGCAAATGGACTAAAACAAGGACCTTACAGTCTTATGCCAGTGATCATCCTTGCAGTGAAAGAAAAGGCAGAAGAAGGAAATACACACATGCAACTAACATGAGCTGCTTCTGTGCCGTTTGAGCTTGGACACTTTTCAGAGAAATATTATTAAGAGTTATTCTTTTCCCATGGCTAGGTCGAAATGTGTAATGTCAGTGTAAAACCAATTACAGCTGTGAATTGCATGAAGTGTATTGTGAAATGAACACCAGATTAAGCATTGTCAGGTTAATGTAGCATGCTAAGGACTCTAGAAAAATAAACTAAGATGATGATCTTGGTTTATGTCATTTATACTGGGCAAATAACATTCTGAAGATAGAGAGCTGATTAGTTCTCAGCCGGGGTTAAAATGTCCAGCTCCAGCAGCTGCAGTCAAGGGGAACCTCTTTTTCCAAGTCTCGGTTGTGCTTCCCTGACTTGTAACTTGCAACTGAGATTAGGCAAAAGCTGTCATCAGGGAAGCTGAGGTCTCTTGTATTTGTACTGCAGATATTTCCAAGCTCAGCTGAGTAAAGCAGAGCTTGCTACAATCACAGAAAGCAGAAAACAAAAGGCTCTCCCAATGCTTCAGAAGCATCTTTTTTTTCCTATTCTGTAGAAGTAGAAAAGAACCAGAAATAGGATGTAATAATGGGCATTTCTTTAAAATAATTTTTAGCCAAATGGCAATTCCCCTTTTCCCTTAGAAAAGTAATGGTTTGAACAATTTATTGCATGATTGCATGCATTGATTACACTGCATATCTTATGTGTGTCTGAGTAACATTAGGAATTGCTTCTGATGAGGAATGCCTCTAAGCTTAATGTCCACTTAGAAGATTGTTAAGCTCTTAGTGTCATTTTTTCAACTGTTCACAAGTGACTATGTATGCTTGACAATTGACTTTTTACAAAACACACCTCTGAATGCAGATGAAATGTCTCTTTGGTCTTTCAGGTCTGGTGATTAGTCCTACACCTCAAAAAAAGGTGATACCACCCTGAAGTTGGACTCTGAAGCAGATGGGCTTTAAAACTGTTATATAAATGTATCAGGCATGTTATCTGGTGTCATTGTTGATACAAATGCCTGTGTTCTCATTTGGCATTTCATGTTCTGTAAGTCTTGTGCACATGATGAATCTTTCATTTTATAAAGGTACTGAATATGCACAAAAAGGAGAATAAAATAATGACTTTATTTTCCTTCGGGGATAAATTAACTGAAAGATACTTTATCTTGCATAACTTTCCAACCTGTTCAGAAAAGCATTTTATTGATTATGCTACAAAGACATAAAAGCAGGGGAAGGGAGGAAGAAAAATGAATTCACTTATGGAAACATAAATGTGCAAGCATCTGGAGTTTCCCTAAATGCAGGGTTTCAGTTGTGTACTGACAGATTTGCCTGCATTCACATGGCATTTGTGAACAAATTCATCTTACAGCCACCCCAGAGAGAAAAGTAATATGTAAAATAGGTCTTGCAAGGAGAAAGGCAGGTGGCAGTGAAATGCTGTGCTCTGACACATTTCTGAGAAGTTGTCAAAGGCTAGATAAGAGCAGATAGGCCCTGGAGCTCCAGTTTTGGGCAGATTTCCTGCCTGCAGAAATCTTAGGCATCCCCTATACTTTAAATTAAATCCCAATTCAATCTAAATTTTGTTTGTTTTGCTTGTTTGTTTGTCTGCTTGTTTTGCTACAGATATTGAATCATCTTCAGCAGAAAGATCAAGCTGTGATACCTGCAAAAGCTCATACCCTCTGTGGTCAGTGGGTTTTCAGAGAACTGAATTTTGGCATCCTCACACTGGGACACATCTTTTAAAGAAAGATGACCCTTGGCTAACATGGAATGAACTACTATCACACTTGTGGTGAAAAATGCAAATTTGACGGTATGATTTTTAAAATTCTATCTCTTTTGAAAAGCCATTTTCTGAAAAAAGAGATTAGTTAAAATAATCCTTGTCTCTTGTGTTATAAAATAACTCTCGACTCAATTGACAAATAGTTTTTTTTCCCCTTAAATTAAGCAAATATATCTCTGTTCAAAATAAGAAGTGCAAATTTTCATGTTGAACACTAATTTTTGTTTGACCACACAATATTTTAGTAATGCAGAGGATTAATTAAAAAAAAAAAAATATATTTGCCTGCAGTGATACCTTTGAGAAATTGCTTTGTTCATCCAGCTGTATTGTCCAGGCTGCCGCTACAGGCAGATGAAATTTTAAGGATCCCTTGGCATTCGGCAGGAGTCTTGTTCTGCCCAGACAATGCCGGCACCCGTTGCTCAGAGCTTTGCTGCGCTGCCGGGGGCTGCCCCCACCCCACGCTCCCAGCAAGGGCAGCCGCGGGCAGCGGGAGCCCCGTTTCTGCCGGAGCCGCATCTGCCGCACCCAGCCGGGCCCGCAGAGCCCTCCCAGCGGTGGCGGTGCCCAGCCTGGCTGTGGCGGTGACAGCCGTGCCACCGCTCCTGAGCCTGCGGAGCGCCCGCGCCGGCGCCGCGTCCTGCGGTTCCCACCGACGGCTCCTGAACCTGGCGTTTCCCTGCTCCATCTTGTGGCAAACAAGGGTATCTGCCCGTCCGAGCAAGTACTTCATGCCGAGGAAGAGAGCACATCGGGATGGGGAGGGTTGAGGCTGGAAGCACTGATGCTCAGAAACACCCCGAGTAAAGGAAAAAAAAATTAAAATATCAATAAGGATGCTTTGAGCCTGGTGAGGTCTCTGTAGGATCTCAGAGTCCAACGGGTTGTTGGGGTTTTTTAAGGGTTTTGTAAAGTCTTTTTTTGGGCACTAGTGCAGCTGTGGCTTTCTTGGAGCAAGAGACCTTCAGCATTGAGCCTTCTGCACAGCTCCTGCCCCTGTCTGAACAGCCCCTCAGGAGCCTCTTTTGGGTGCCCCAGGACCGCTTTTGCTCCTGTCAAACAGGTGCTTTCACTGTCAGCTCTCTGGGAAATGCCACAGAAAGCTCTCTCTGCTCACAGGTCGGCTTGTCCAGGTCTGAGGCCCACCAGACACCAGTGCGGTGGGCTCTGCAGAGGCTGGCAGCTGCTCCAGAGGCACATTGCCAAATCCCCACTAGCTGACCTCTAGCTGTGGCAAGGTGGTTAAGGCCAACAATGATGTAAACAGTAACAATATTAATTTCTCCCTCAAAGGAATGACGTGGAGAGCCCTAGTGTGATGCTCACATTCTCCAGTATCTCTCATACCTGTAGATAAGGGAATAGTCGGAGGGACAGCAGGGGTAAGCACAGCACAGTGGGGATGTCCTGTGCCAAACTATCCCTTGCCTTGTCCTTGCTGGTGTTGTGCTGCTTTTCTGGGGGTCCCTGACTTATCCTGCCTGTGGGTCTGAAGGCCCACCTCTGCAATATTTGTTGTATGCTTGGTGAACAGGTTTACCTCACATTTGTGCTGACATCTTTGAAAAATGACTCTGATTCCCTCAATATACTGTTTCAGTGATTCATTCTTTATGTGCATTTACTCAGCAGACGTGAGTGGGGAAATAAGATTTATGCTAAATTTATATGTTAATTTTAATATTGAAGCTATCCTGTATTTGAAGAATAAGATCAATTCTTCAATTTCATTTCTTACGTGATATTGCATATTGTCATTACTGGAAAATAAAATTATTTCTGAATGCATACTATCTAAACTTCAATTTTAGTGGACATTTAATTTTGACGCATCATTCTTCTCCCTTCCCTATAAAAGCTAACTTAATACAATATTTAACATTTTCACACTAGTCTGCCACTGGAAGGTAACAAAGACGAGACTTTTTACCCTAAATGATGTTTCATTAATGTTGCTCCCTGCAACATTTCTGCACTGTCACAGACTTCGCACCTGACTCAGTGTTGCATGCATGCTACAATAGGAATCTTGGTTAATGGTTGTGCTCCTCACTGGAGATTAATGTCATTAATTTCCACGTTAGCAGCAGTTCTTGAGAGCCATGGCCACAGCTGTTCCCTAAACATGCCTGTACACAGGCCAAATCCTAACCTTAAGTGCAGAATCCAGCCCTTAGATCATGTAGAGGATGGATACAGAGAATCGCATGTACAGAAAGATTTAGCCTCTACAGAGGGAGATATATTTTAAAGAGGCCTCCTGCCAGAGACTGTGCTCTCCTGAACCTGCAACAGAAAGAAAATATTTACAACACCTTAGGAGTGTAGTTTGCCACTTTATCTCTTTGCAAGCTGTGCAGGAGATTAAGCTGAGAGATAGATAGGAGAAACCTTTGCAAGGTTACATCCTTGCTCTGCCCTACACCCTGAGGAAGAATTTTCCCTCCCTGTGAGATAAAGTTAACTGCTACAACAATTTAATTGTTTTTATCTGAAAATTTGCAAAGAGTTTAAGTGTTCTGTAAGTAAGACAGGAGACATAGTGTTTACCAGATGATGTATGGTAAGATTCTCTTTCTGATTTTTTCTCTGTGAGAGAGAGTCTATAACTTTTCCATGTCTGACCTGTGACTACATTCAGCAAGATTTGTCCTGAAAACTTCAGGATTATCCTTAGATAGTCCTGAGCAAACAACTGTC